AAGTGTCTCCGGCTGGTATCACTGTATTCTTTCCCAGTAGAAAGGCTTTAAACAGGCTCAAGAGAGTCCAGCACCCAGACACTCCACTAGCTGTCTCGCGGTAAAGATTTCCAACGCGTCCCTTCGAACAGGTAGTCTGCCTTTCGACAACACCTCTGTAGCAGCTTTTTTAGTCTTCGTCCTACAGTACACCCACAGATAGAGCACGATCGTCTGTGACACTGGTACCATTTACGACACAAGACAACACACCCCCTGGACCGATTTTCAAAGCCCGATTACTCCACAGGAGAAAGAGTGGCCGTGTGGAAAATGGCGGCGTTGGGGCCATCTCGTCGAGAGCTTTCCCAAAACGTATCGTTGCATTTTATGCATCCTCTTCGTGTCAAGCTATGAAAATAGGTCCAGGGCGTGTCGTATTTGTGTCACGTACGGTAAGCCCACCGCCAAAAAAGTCCATTCGAAACAAGATGGTACAAAAGGCCACTCGTGAGCTGACACACTCCAGAATACATCGAATGATATCATCGCCCTCAAAGCTTCCAGCGTGTACAAGTTCCCGTCGTGTTGTGCGAGGAAATCGGAAACACAAGTTGAAAAACACAAACAAAACCTCGGGCCAAACACAGTAGATTTTCGGGACTTTGCTGATATGCGATATGTTGGCCAATCCAAAGGGAAGGCGATGCTTTCGGAGGGGAGAAGCTGCCCCGGGGAGGTCTTGCAAACACGAAACTCGTCGATGGGTTCGCGACTCAAACCAAACAAAGGAGTCAAAACAACAACAACAACAACAAAAATCCAGAGCACACCAAAAAACAAATACGGCAGACCTGCTTGCAAAAAAAATATATATATATATATACAAGGTCTCCCTTCGGGACGTGGGTGTCTACCCTTCCTCAGGTGACGCAAGACCACATGCGCATTGCCCGAAGAGGGACTGTGTGTCTTACAACGCTTGTATTTCCGCACAAAACATCGCGCACGGTGTTATTCTACATTGGAGCCAGCTCAAGCGGACAATATTTTGGCAGCGAAAGCTCAGAATTCCATGACGTCTTTGATTGATGATGGCAGATTTCCGATGAGACCCAAATTTGAAGCCGAAACAACACCACAAATGGGACATGTTCAACACTGCGGCTGGATGCATGCTCTCAGACTTGTCTACACTTGGCCCGCTGCGAAGTGCAGTAAACGTAGGTACTGCTGTTGGACAACGCGATGACACGAAGAGTCACAGCCAGCCATGAATAATCGAATGAATGAATGCAAGAACGAAATGAACGTGGAGAGGCAAAGAGGCAAATATTTCAAACCGTCGTATTTGATGGGTTCGATAGGTTTCAGAATTGGTTCGCCAGGCTTTTTCAGCGCGGAACGCGTCCCCGGGGTTTTGAGCCAGTTTTCGCAACTTGGGCCGTCAACCACACGCGCCACGGAGACCTACCGAGCTCCGGGCACGGGCGTTAATGTACCGACGAGCCTCCTGCGTGCCCCTGAGAAGGAACCGCGACAAAAGACTCGCTGCCGCGAGAGAAAGTAACGCCGAGGCATGAAAAGTGACCAAATCGTATATGTACATATTCCTCCTCACCGGCATTACAGCCGCCGACCCGTCCGAGTCCAGATCGTGGTACGCTCCCCCCGTCGACCCCCGTCTGCCGTCCCCCCCGCCCAGCTCCATGGCGCCGGGCGCCGACGACGCCGCTCCGACGGATGTCGTGTCGACGTTCGGGTCGTCCTTGTCTCCGTACTTTATGCGGCTGCCCTCCGCCCGGTCGGGTGGTGTAGAGAGGGAGGAAGGGAGGTTGGCGAGGGCGTGCGTGCAGGAAAAAGAATGTGTTTGGTTTTCGTTCAAGAGAAAAATACGATGACAAGGCATGAGTTAATGGACCAATCGACGGTGCAAGACCACCGTTTCATCTTCCTTTTCTCTACGATATTCAAGCTAAATTTATTGTACATAATCTAAGATGGGAACCCCGGGATCACCCGCACACAGATACAATACGGCCTTCGAAAGTGCCTGGCCTGGCCACACACGATAAGCACGATTTCAGTACGATACAGACTTTGAGAGCACCTGTCTAGGCCACTACACGCGATTCCGCGGCAACACTTTCCTTAAGCTCCCTACCTATCTGACAAGCAAGAGGTGGGCGGCACACCCTCTCCGTCCGCCAACCTTTAAACCGACAGCTTGTGGCAACAAACGTTCTTCGTACCGCGGATCTATCTAACTATCTTTCTATCCATCTGTCTCACCAGTAAACCTCGGGGGTAAGCAGGAAGAAGAAGACGCCAATGCAGAATACCGCGATGATGTGCGCGCAAACCATGGAAGGGACCAAGCATGCCTCCTCCTGCGTAACCCGGGGAATCACCGAATGGATAGGGTGGGGGGGGGGGTTCGAACGCCAGTGAAGGAGATGGCATGAACGACGGGTGAAAGCAAAACAAAAAAATGCCGCAACAATAGTAGCTACATGGCACGGATACGGGAAAAGAGGCGTCAGAGAGAGCGCGAACACGCAATTCGGCAACCCTCACCGTGCTAATGTTTTGAGCGATCTTCGTCCAGATGAGCAGGAGCAGGTAGAGCGGCAGCAGGATCCGAAACACGAACCACAGCGAGTACATCGCGCCGTGCGCGATCCTGTTGACACAGAAACAACAGTTCCGTTCCGCATGCGGCGAGATTAACCGAGGGGTAACCAAAAAGCGCCCAGCAGCGTGTGCACGAGCTGCTGCTGGGGGGGGTTGTCCTCATAAGCCGTGCAAGTCGTAGTCGTAAGACCATTGACCTCGCATCCGTACAAAGCCCGAACGGAGCTCACCTGACCGGGGGATGCTTTCAGGAAAGTGTCGCAACAAAAATGTATGGAAACGAACGGCTCGTGTGAAACCGAAGCATGAGAAAGCGGGAGCAGCAGTCGCAGTAGAGCCACCACCACCACCGCCGACAAGCAACGACCAACGTCAATGTCAACAGCAGTACCAAAGCATTAGCAACAATGTTAACGCTAGAATGACACCAGCAGACAACGGCGGTAACAACAACAAAAACAACGTTAAACTTGTTACAAAAACAACAACAACAACAACAACAACAACACTACCATCACCACCAACACAGAAAAAAAAATCTGACCACCATTACGGCCAGCCCCAAAGGGCTTGATAGACTCTGTAGCGGCGCCCAGCAACGCAGGTGCTAGAATTATTAGGGTTAGGGTGTAGGGTTACGGAAAGGGTTAGCTCACCGGTGCTCCGGTGTTCGTCTTCTCCCCAGGTCTTCCAAAAACGCCATCGCGTTCAGCGGCATAGTGCTAGCCTCCACCAGCAAAAAGAGCAGCAGCACGTACTGCCCCTGGTGACAGGTGTAAAAGAACTGAGTGATCACGTACGGGGTCCTGCAGAGGGGAGGATGAGGGGGGGGGGGGGGGGGG